TGTAGAAATAAAAGTGCATTGAATTAAAATGACAGCTTTATTCGAGGTTTGTTTTCTTAGGTTTATTGTGGCGGTTTAGCTCAGGTCTGATGTTCCATGAGTTTATTTTACAGCTGATATAAAAGTCTCATTCTGGTTTCATTTTCAAAGTAAAAATAGTAAAATCTTTTATTCTGAAATGTGTTTTATTTTGTTTTGCTGCCTTGGTTTAAAATAGTTTTCAAAGTAAAGGTTTCAGACTGAACTCACCACCTGTGAGGCCACACGATGTGCAAAGGCTTCACCTGGCTGGCCATGCCCCCCTCTGCAGGCTGCTCACACCTGTCGGGTAACAAACTGACGTGAGACAAAACTCTTTGAGTCTTTGAGTTTTACCAGAGATGGATTTGTACCGTGGCGCATCTTCATCGTGAGCTCTGCTCTGCTGCTGCTCGCCCTGCAACATGATATCATCAACACGAGACTGCTCAGTAGGCCGCTGCAGGAGTTTGTGTTTAGGCAAGAACCTGAAAAAGAAAGAAAAACAGGAAATGAGTGGAGACTGCAGCGCACTCAGAGCAGGTACATGTCCACCACAGAGATACCCTTTAGCATCAGGAGCTAACGGGTCCTGCTGTCACATCAACAACGGTCTTCTCCCCTGATGAGCCGCAGCCGCTGTGAGTCATCAACCAATCAGACACATTTAGAGCTGGAAGCCCCTCCCCTAAGATTTAGAAAACAGTGACCCATAGTGGGGACTGTCAAAGGTGACATCACTTTCTCTGAGCACGCTGCTCTGTTACTGTTCTGAGATCCTGCAGAGGCTCCAGGAAAGTTTACGTAGAAACACAGGGGGGAGGGGAGGGGCGGGAGGGGGAGGGGGGTGTCTGGAGGTCGTTTCTTCCTCCCCACAGAGCTGGACGGCCTCTCAGTGGAGTTTCTGCCTCTAAGCCTTCTGGGAAAACTTGATTCAATAATCCATTTTATAAATTAGATGTTTGACTGGAGACAATAAAAACATGAGCGTGTCCACGCCGGGGGGTGGGGGGGTGTAATTATGTTATTGATAAATGTGCAGTGATCAGGACGATGACCTCACCTCTGAGTCTGATTAAACACGAAGGAATGAAGGTCAAAAATCACTGCGGCGCATTTACTTTATTACCAATAATCACAGCGCCAAACACACACC